AATAATCCACTTTACAATGCACTCTATCTGACAACAAGGCTATTCACACCCCTGGGCTATGATCAGAGGAGATTCACCTGAGGGTCCCCTGTAAACGAATTTTGGGCTTCCACTGTCACCCATAGCCTTCTGCAAGCTGGGTGTTCACAATTTAAGCTCTAGTACTGTTGCCTCCTCCAGATTTGGATTTTATTATTCACAGTCCTTGAATCACACAGACTGGTGTGCTTCTTCTATGTGGACTTCATTGATGCCTCGCTTAGATGGCTGTTTTTTAAAGACAAACTTTTAAGACTCAGGTGCTATTCTTTCGGATAACTGAGCACTTTCTGATTTCTTCGTCACAATTTGCTAGAGCACCCATATCTTCAGTGATCTTTTCATGAGAGCAAATATGGAATAGTTTGGAGATTTCTTAGTCTTTGCCACATACATTATATTACACAACTTATAAATGCGACAATGTTTCATGCACGTACAACAGTTAATAAGCAACCTTAACATGATAAACCTACTGTTATGTTCCTTCCTCCTTTACTTCATTCAGTGTATCTCTAGTAGCATTAATATATAACCTATATTTAGTAAATTTATTTTGTGCTTATTTATTACAAACTTGATGCTGCATTTTTATAAGATTAAATTATTAACTTTATTTGTGAAAATAGCGTATGTCTGGCCTTTATGATTGCCTATGTTGGGTGTTTGGGGATCTCTCTTTTATTTTTTGTATATTTATTTTTCCCATGTATAGATTTATTTAATGCTCCTGCCTGTCTACTTGGTGTACTCCCATGAGTCATACATTAAAGTTGGTTTTTTAGTGGCAAATTCTCAGAGATTCTATTTGTTTGGGATTTTTATTTTATCTTATTTTTTTTCCTCTTTGAATGAAAACCTTACTGGCTAAAGAATTCTTGGTTGACACTTGTTTTTGATCAGTAGTTTGTACATACAGCTCCATTGTCTAGAGTTTCTTATGAAAGACACTTGGTATGTTATCTTGCGTTTTCTCTCATTGCTTTGTGAATTCTCTTCTTGAGTTTGGTTTTCAACGATTTTATTAGGATATGGTGTGGAGTAGATTTTTTTGTGTCCTTCTGATTGGGGTTTTGTAGCTTCCTGTTTTAGCTGGATTGGTTATCTGTTCAGGTCCAGGGAATTCTGATTATCTCTTGGAAAATTGTCGCTAGGCCTTTATTAGTTTCATGATACGCTGAGATTCCAATAATTCTGATTCTGTATTTTTAAATTGAATCCCACAGTTTCTTTTGGATTTGCTTAAGTTTGCCTCGCTCTCCTTTTTCACTTTTGCTTGTCTTAAGGTTTGCTGAGCTCATCAATTTTGCCTTTAGTTCATTTATTCTATCTTCTATATGTTCTACTCTATCGTTGAGTGTTTCCCTTGGTTTTTCTAATTCACTTACTTTACTCTTCATTTCCAGTAGTTCCAGGTCATTTCCTGGTCTTCAGTAGACTGTTTTCTGTATCTTTTTCTCTGTTTGAAAAAAACATATTGAGTACCATGATCTGAAAATTATCAATTCTTTGTGCTACTTTGACTGCCATAGGTGAAATTTCTTTTTCTTCATGTTTTGCTTTTGGATAAACCTGCTTCTTTTGTGAATATTTTTGTTTTGATATTCTGTTGTAGTGATTAAATTTGGGTCATTTTGCTATTTCGTTGTAGTAATTGGATCTGGGTCATAAATTTGTTTTCTGGTTTTGTGATGAAACTTTAGAATTTGGTACTTTGCTAGTGCAGTAGCCAAGCAACCAGCTTCCAACTAAAAGACTAGGGTCCACCACACCCACCAGCTTGCTTCTCCACCAAAGAAAGATGTGGCAGCCAGTTTCTGCAAAGACTTACAGTTAGAATCAACTCAGCAACAGTGGACTTGGAATCTTCTCTCGAGAACCACTAGAAGGTACTTTTATCCTTCTTTTGTTTGTTTTTTCCACTACTGAGCAGAAGTTCTGGATATTTGATCTCTAGAATTTAGTGTCTCTGCACCACTGGGGGTTTTAGCTAGTTTCAGATGTAAACGATGAAGCTTGAGTTTCTTGTGCTGAGGGAAATACACACATTTAGAGTATAGCTCATTATACCACCACGGATCCTAGAGGGTAGGAGGCTCTCTCTCTATTTCCCCCATGGGTGTCCCTGCACAGGCTCTTTCACTGTGTCTCCCTAGGCAGAGCACCAGCAATTTCCCTCGGTGTTGCCCATTAGTCTGAAATATTCCCCTGCCTTGCTGTCCTTCAATCTCCTGGTGGTCCCAGTGCCTATCTGTGTTAGTCTGGATAGACTAGAGAAACAAATTCACAGATACTCATATGTGTATAAGAAAGAACTTTATATCAAAGAGTAATTGTATATTAAGAAAACATTCCAGCCCAGGTAAGATCAAGTCCATAACTCTGATATTAGCCCATATGTCTGATACTTGTTCATAAATTCCTCTTTAGAGCAAGTGCACAGCAAGTGCAATGAGGCCAAATGAGGGAAGATCACAGGCCAGTGGGTAGAGGGTCTTGTGGTTCCAGTGGCAGTGGAAGCGTCTCCATGCTGGTGGGGTCTCCACGTGTTTCCTCCAGCTCTCTGAGTTTCTCAATAGAAGGAATGGGAAGGCAGAGAGCGTGGGTCAGGACTCCAGTGAGCTATTTGTCTCGGTTGTGCCTCGAAATGAGGTCATCAAGCTGCTACCTGATTGACAGGCCCGACAGGCCAGACTCCACCCCTTCACTCAAGTTGCCAGGAGATTATGTAACTGCCACACTGTCTGTCTTGGCCCATGGCAACATTCAACAGCACTTTCTTCCATCACCAAAGGCTTTCATTCTCTTCCAATTGCATGGCTGGTGAATGTTTGTACTGCCTTAAAATTTTTCTGTGTTCCCTGTTTGGAGTGTTGCCCAACTACCTCCCCAAATGGGGCAGTGAGCAAATGCTCTCCATGTTTTAGATAGATTCTCCCAGCTTCTCTGCCATCAGTGTTCCTCCTGTCTCCCTCTTCTGAACTAAACCCGACTCTCCAACAGCTCAGCTACTCCCCAGAGTTGTGTGATGTCAGTCGGTGCTCAGTTCGATTCATTGTTCCTTGGATGAATGGCTGGAACACATCATTTCATCCTGTTCCCGCAAATTCATGTTTGATCCCACCAACCACTCACTCACTGCCAGCACTTTGAAATAAAAATGGAAAATTAAAAGTAATATTTTATTAAGCAGAGTTTCCCTAGTATTTATCATTTAAAAAGCTTTTGTTTAAAAGGTTACACATACTTCTCATAGTAAGCAATCTGTGCATTGAATAGAAGAATTTGTGTTACTGTCAATAAATAGCTGGAACTAGAAATTGAGAAAGTTTTGAAGTACAAAGTTATATATTATTGATAAGTTGATACTATTGACTTTGTCATTTTGTCACCTGTTTTTAGAGTTTGAAATTCTCAAATTAAAGTTTGAAACATTAGCATCTCTTTGTGTGTTTAGTTTTAAACCATTTTCAAAATATATCTCTTCTTGTCTCTTCTGGTATGTTGTTACTATTCTTTAAAAGCTTACATCACTGACAGTGCTTTGGGACCATTAAAAATGTCCTTTGTGTGGTGTTGGAGTTACTGGTGGTGGTTGTTTTCCCATTGCAAATGGCAAGCTCCCGTTCAATTGTATTCTCCTGTGTGTTTTAAAATAAAAAATCTCAATTACTCATAAA